TCTTCTCCAGTCTTCCAAGGTTGCTATTTATAGCTGGATTGGATAATCTATCCGTTGAATCAAAATAGACTATCCGTTGCATTTGCTGGCTTCAATTTTGAATGAAGATTGTGATTGAGGATTCCTCATTGGAGTGGGTGTTTGGACATACCCAATTGTTTGAGGAGGGATTCCTTTTTCCACAGAATCCGTCTTCTAGCTGTTGTTCAAGAATTCTGGACTGTAGAACTTTACTCAGTTTGTCTTCTAGTGCTTGTTTAGGAATTCTGGACGAGCTCTTTAATTTGAGGGGTCCAGACTTTGTTTTCAAGTCATTTGTTCTTGAATCAGCTTAATTATCTTCAATCTAGCCGTTGAAAATCAAGAGATTGATTTTTCCTTACCAACAGGTAGAATTTCTTCATTCAAGACTTAGAATTTTTCTAAGTCTTTTCTCACTTGTCCGCTTCTGAGAGTTCCGATTTTTTCTTGAGGCATCCGGTTCTTTTTCTGACAAATTCGGAAGAGTCATTCACAGACTTCCGGGTGAGAAAGAAATCCGCGCTAGTCTTCCGATTTGAATGACTTAGCCTTCAGCGGGTTGTAGCGAGACATCCGGTTATCATGTAGTGTTCCGGATTAGAGGATCTTCATCTGCTTTGAGAAATCCTTACTTGTCTCTGACATTTCCGATCAAGATATCCAATTTCCATATCACAGAGTTTGTCTAAGTCTTCAAGCATCAAACCACTTAAAGAAATATCACAACTTTATTGGAAATCTCAAGAACTCGGTTTTAACAATATTTCTAAAAAGAAAAATTACATTGAATATTGGGGGAGGCCTAAAGTCCTTATTACATTCTAAATACACCATCATCAAAATCTATAATATTTTTCCCAACAATTTCTTCCTTTTTGATGATGACAAACAAGTGTTTAAGAGTTCCGGTCGCTGTACTGAGAACTAATTTTATAACTTTCTTTTAGTTTCTCATAATATACAGCTTGTTAACAAAAACTCTTAAACAAATACAATTCAAGTTACAATAATTCCTAAACCAAGTCTTGTCTTGAGATTTTGTGATATTTTCTGCCATTGACCGTTTTCAGCTTCAGCAGATCTTGCTTATCAGTGCGGATGGCGTTGCGTTTGATAGATCTTTAATATCCAAAGTGGATATTTGAGATCTTGGAACCAACATCTTTACAAAAAGCAAAAACAAGAACAAAAAGAAAGTGGAGGGAAAGGAGGTGGCGGTGGAAGAAAGGAAAAAAGAGAGAATGACAAGAAAAAGGTTTTGGAAAAGAGAATTGATTGAAAATAAAAAATAAAATAAGGTTTTTTTAAAAAAATTTTGAGAAAGTAAAAAAAATGCTTGAGTAAAGGGTGTAGAGACTGCACAAATAAAAGAAAGATAAATTTTTTTAAAGAGAATTAGAAGAAACAAAGATGGAGAGAGTGTTGTTTCCAGAGAAGGTGTATGGTGTAATCCTGAAAAATACGAGATTTTCACCACAGACCTTCTCTACTGCCGAGATTCTCACCATAGACCTTGAAAGTCTTTTCTTCTCATTAGGCTTTCTCCATTGCCGTCTATGATGGTGAGAAAGAAAAATTTCTCCATTAAGGATAACGTTCTTGGTGTGTTTCTCAAACAGTGAGTTTGAAGACTTTTCATATTGAAAGAGTTGTTTGTGATAGGAATGGATTTGGATGTCTTGATTTAAATAGGAGAGGAGGTAGAGAGAGGGACGGGTTCCACTAATTGGGTAGTTGGAACGGTGAGAGTAAAAGAGTTTCAACTTCCAAGAAGTTGAAAAATGGAAGGAATCTTTTACCAGTTACCAATGTGTTGAAACTGTTCAAATTAAAAAATCAGTTTCGTTTGGTTTGGAAAAAAAATGTAACTGTTTTGGTTTGGCTAAGCCCGAAAGAGTGGCCCAAAAAAAATATCTATGTACTAAAGGGAAATTATTCCTGTTGGGTTCTCAAGACCCAAAATAAAACTATCATTTTTCATTCTCTATAGTTCTAATTTCTAAATAGGACGAGGTAGTACCAAAAAATTTTTGTAACTTATCTTAAAAGAAAAAGTGGTACTATTTTTCCAAAGTCCTGTACATTATGAAAATCCTAAGGATCAGTACTTAAGAGCAAAGTTGGAAATGAACTAAGGATTAAATCTCAGTTTTAAGAAGGCAGATTTTGTAAAGTACCTAAATCGGAGATCTCCAACTTTAGTACTTAAACTAAGGTATCCGGCTTCCATTGCTTAGAGTTTATCAATAGTTCATTGCCAAAAACAATTGAAGCAATTGTTAGCCAAAAACAGTTAAGTTCCCCCTGAATGTATGCGCTTAAGGATAAATCTCAAGAATCACACTTAAAGTGAAGCATAGTAAGCATATTAAGAGAAACATTGAAGCAATGTTTAATCCAAACAAGCAATGTTTAAACAAGAAGGTGTTTTTCATCAAAGCAAAATAGTGTTTTCACATACTTCCCCATGGTTTGATGAAAAAAAGCCTTCACTGCTTCCTGCGCTTTGATGATCTGGCAATCTCACTAATGCCTTGCATGTTTCCACACAGTTCTTTGATGCGCCTTATGTTGTTGCGTCTCTCCTCTATTTGGGAATCATTTAAGAAATGGGAGACAATGGTTCCAACAGCCTCTGTTCCATCCAGTCCAGAGCTAGATAGATGTTGTGCTGAGTTCTCCGGATTAGTTCTCTGAGCTTCGGGGATCAGGTCAGTCATGTTCAGATGCAAAGGAACATAAGAGATTTCTCCTTCCTTGACTGTAATAGGGAGCTCTGGAATCAAGGATGGACAGTGTTGTTGAAGAATCACTTCCATCTTGCGGTTGCCAGAGCTTGTGCTTAAGTGTCTGAACAGTCTGTGTGCTTCCTTCTGATTGTCAATAATAACCTTCAAGTAGTCTTTGGTTACTACCTGATTTGCTGAAGACACTGCTAGGGCTGATCTGTTGTCCATTTGGAGAAGGGACATCTGCTTCTGTAAACTAACTGTGACATTTGCTATTTGCTTTCTGATTTTATTGACTTCTTTGAGTTGAAGATAACTGTCAGATGCATATGTCTCCATTTTGTCGCTCATAGAGTTACTCAATAGAGAGATGATCTCTAGAGTCGTCTTGTGTACTGACTTGCTTATCTCCTTGAGATCTGAGCTGTGTTTCTCTTCAGATTTCTCAATCAGCATGTTGTGTCTGGCTTCCATCTGCTCTATCTCTTGCCTAAAGGAGGCATGCTCAGATGCTAGGGCTGATTCAATCATCCCTTGGACCTTCTTTGTCCAGGTTTCCGGTACTTCATCCGGAAGTGTAGAAATGGAAGAGCTATGGAAATGAAAGTTGGTTACCTGATGAGAAGAGGATGTTCTTTGGAAGAGTTACATAGGAAGAGATTCGGCATCTTCTTGCACATCTTCTTCATCATCAATCTTCAGCGTCCTTTCAGATTCTTCTTCTGCTTCATCAAGTATAAAATTTGATATATCCCTAGAGAGGGAGTCTCTTTCTTCACCTTCATTCCGCTCTTCAAAAACAGCTACTGGAGTTTCAGGGGCCTCTAGTGTTGCCATTTGAACTTCCTTTTCAGCTTCTGTAGAATTCCTTTGGATTTCTACAGCTTGCTCTTCTTGGACTTCATTCGTTTCTGGAGGAGTGGACTGCTCCAGAATTTCTCTTGACTTCTCCGGGATCTCAAGTTCAGGTTGGTTGGAAATCTCACAAGGAGTTGTGCGAATCTCAAGGACTTGAGATTTGAGAGGTTGCTGAATTTCTTCTTCTGATGCTTCTTGGTTCTGTTCTAGTGGAGTAGAGGCTGCATTCTCTTGGTCAGCTTCAGGCAGAACCGTTACAAAGGCAGGTGAGGTTTCCGGAAAGACTGGGAAATCCTCAGCTGTTGTTTCCAAATCAGCCTGTGCTTCAGAAGTGAGAATCATCTGATCTTCTGTGGCTTTTGAGAAGATCGGCTTGTAGACTGAAGGATCTTCATCATCCAAGTATTCCAGACGCAAGTCTTCATAGTTCCTTTGCCATACCCAGTCATCATCCAAGATTTGTTCACAGCTGTGGTTGACTGGCAGTCCCAAGCACTTCTTGATGATCTTTTCATTCTTCAATTGTTGATCCCATCCCAACAACTACTCTGCTGAATTTCCAACCTTCCAAGCTCTCCAGTCATAATAGATTTGCCAGATTTGGTTATCAGCATCATCTATTTGAGGTTGAGGTGAGGAGGTTGGAAGACTATGGACTTGATGAACTTCTTCTTCAAGTTGTTGAGGACTCTGGTTGTGGGCAGAGTTTTCCTCAACTGGTTCCTTCTCCTTCAACTTATCCGGGTTGACATTTCCAGAAGTTAAGGGATTGGTGATTTTTCTCTTCTTCTTCCTTTGAAGCTCTTCTCGGGCAGTAACTTCTTCTTCTTCCATATTAACTAGAGCGAGATTCTGTGGTGCTTCAACATTAGGAGAGGGAGACACCACATGTTTCCTCTTGGCTATTTTCTTCAGATTTATGATGAGAAAATTGTCTGAAGAGGCTTCATCCTCTGCAGTTGTGCTAGCACCAGCTCTGTTTTCCCCTTTGGAAGACAGGTAGTATAGCCAATATCTGGCTTCATACTTCTTTTCTTCAGAAGCAGCACCCAAGGACTCCAAGATATGTCCAATGTACTGACCTTGACAAAGGTATTTCTGGTTGGGTTTTCCCA